TAGACCCTCCGTCAGCAACTAGGATAGCTCCTTATTGCAGTGCAATGTTTTGGACGACGTGAACCGGCCAACCGCGGCCGTCCGATGCGACTCTTTTCTGATCAAGGTTCGCATTAATTGCAACAGCCTGGATAATGCGCGCGCGCACTAGCGCAGTCTTGCGCAAGGTGCACGCTCTCCGCGCTGCAAGAAGCGGCATCCAAAACACATGACGATGCACTGGCGCGAAGTGTTTTTGCAGTAGATCATGCACTTCACCTTTCACCATTTTGCGTGCACCACCTACTACTTGTGGGACTTAATCAAGCGGGGGCAATCGATTCTCCGCGCTTCAACTCGTGCCAAGGGAAAAGCATCATGAATCTTGTGAGGCTAGCATGCGTACGGTGCCCATGATGTACAAGGAAAGTATAAACCAGATCTCATCGTTCACGCGATTCAGGGTGCGCAGTACGATTTTTAGGTCGATCGTTCGGTCTATTTAATGGAATTATGGCTCTTTATTGTTGGTTAGCGCTGTTGGCTAAAGGATAACACTTGAAGGCAGGGTCTAACCTGGTCTTTGAAACGACTTCGGCCAAACTTCATTCAATCCACTCTAACTTTCCTTTACTCCCTAAAGCTCGAGCCGGGGGTGGTCAACTGGTGTTTCTATCGCCTGGGTTGCTTCTGGGGCGACAATCATCTCCTGAAACCACTTCAACACCTGAGGCCAGACCTCGCCCGCTGCGGTGTAGTCATTGGCAAGCCGCTCTGCATAGCGCTCCGTCCCACGCACTTGCGCACACAGGGTCTCGGCCCTCGGCCTATCCTACTCGGTGCCTCGTCAGTACCAGAGCAGCCATGCAAGAAAGACTCGCGACGACAACGCCTCCACATCCTTGGCCGCAGACTCGAAGAGCCGGAAAGCCGCAGCCCATTCCTGTCGTACTCCCAACCCTTCGGCATACAGCTCCCTCAGGTTGCACTGCGCTGGCGACACCCCCTGATCTGCGGTTTTCTCGTACAGCTCGGCGGCAAGCGTTGCATCCTTCTCCACGCCCGTGCCATTAGCGTAGCACCAACCCATGTTGCACTGCGCCACTTCGAGCCCCTGCTCGGCGGCTTGGGCATACAGCTCGGCGGCGCGCGCCTCGGCTCTCAATGCCCGTGCCGTTCCCGTGGTACACGCCTAGGTAGCACTATCCCGTCGCGTGGCCCTGCTCGGCGGCCTTCGCGTA